GCCGATGGCATTTCAACCACGCCTACTGCTTTTGGTCAGGTTGAAGCCAGCCTCATCCACATATATGAAGTTGTGAGATGGTTCACTTGATTCCAATTCCACATTGCATTGCAAGGGAAGATATTCGTTGTGATGTAGATGAGAATCTGTGGGCCGACAGACTGACACGTCAGGAGGTGTAGACAGACTGCACTGCAATTCCTCATACAGTGCTGAATAAGGGGTGTTTCCTGTGTTTGCCTTTCTAATTTTGTATTTTTGCTTTTGTGCCCATATTTCTTTTCTATATCACAATGACGTAATGTTTTGTTTTTTTGTCAGACCACTAGTAAAGTGTTACTGTGAATCCTGTCCAGTCTCTTTCAGTCAAAATCCCACATACAGTAATGTAAAAATGTGTACTTTTGAAATGGATATATGGCACACATAAGAAGTGCAGCCTTCTACATTTCAATACAGTAAATGTCATCCAAACTGCTGCCATAGTTTACATCAGACAGAGTGCACTGTTATACTGACAACATGACTAAGCATTTTGACTATCTTGCTTGTGAACAATGACTCGAGGACTTTTCATTCTGATGGCACTGATATGTTCATTGACATAAATACTTACTTTTGAGAGATGAACAAAAGGTTTTGAGTAAGTTACAGGCTTTTGCAGGTAATCCATTGTGTGGTGCTGTTTGTACAAATTGTTTTGAGAAATGCACATACTTCTTTGCAAATATTAAGGATGATTCGAGAAATGCACCAAAGCGACCGAGTAAAAACTGTAATACATTACATTAGCAACTGATAATGTAGGAAACCGCAGACAAATGTACATAATCAATTGCATGAATGTACCAGCGCAATCACAACTTGCTTAAAATAATGAGAAACTGCTTTTAAGATGTGCACAGTTGACTAGATGATGTGGAGGTTGAACAAGTAGTTTGGAGAATTTCATTTCTGATCTGCACCAAAGCGACTGAGAAAAACTGTGAGCTATGCATAAATACAGGATGCTGTTTTGTTTACAATTGTTTATACAATTATATTTGATTTATAAATGTTAGTTTAAACACTTAAAAAAAAACAGTCGTTATAAACAATTCAATGCAGAGCATCATTTTGCTCATTGCGCCCTCCTGTGGCCTCAGGAGACAAAAGTTTCCTTATTTAATCTGCATATAAAAATTTAAGAAAGGAGATATTTGATTACATTTTATTTTGTGTTGACTGCTAAAACAAAAATTATTTGTTGTCTTAACCTAAAAAAAAAAACACAACACAGATAAAATGACTTGACTGCAAGTCATTGCGTGAAGATCCATGCTCCCCTTTTGAAGGCCTCTACTATGAGATCTTTGCAGGGCTGAAGAGCACAGGGCTAAAAATTAATGGCCATTTGGGACTCGAATCTTTCATTTCGAATGCAGTGAACAAGAGAAATGGGTTCTCCCCGTTCTCCTGCTGAGTCTATCCAGCACAGTTCTTCGGATCAGATGAAAAGGCATTCAGAAAGGCATGTTAAGAGCTTTTAGTGATATGATTTAGTAAAAGCAGAGGTTGAACACAAGGTCACGTAGTCAACATCTCTTAAGAATTTCAATCACTCCACTCAATGGCTCTTTCCTGTTGTTCTAACATGGTGTTAATGGTCTGTCCTTTTTGCTGACCTTTCTCTATAAAACATTTCCTTATTTTGGCTTGCTTTTTGCTTAGGTTCATCCACCGTCATCCGCACCGTGCCCTTGCTCACCCACATTATTTTGTTATTTTTTACTCCACATTCTTCTAATCATGTATGACCAACAGCGCAGCTGACTCATTAGATGGAGTAAAACTTAAACATTAGTGCTCAGGCAGGTCCATGAGTAAAAATATCTTATCTGCCAGCATGCATTATTGACACAAATAAATATGTTACATGTCTGAGAGACCTCTACTTGCCTAGGTGATAAAAGGGTATTATTATTGACTTGAACCTGGACACATTTTCCTCTGGATGGAAGTGTGGAAGTAGACCTGAGGCTCTGGACTCTGTCATGTTACTGTGGCAACGCTGCATCAGCTTCAGCTATCTGGATGCTTTGTAGCTGGTCTTTAGTGAAAAACAATGCAGCATCAGTATTCAAACTGGTATATACAATCTAATATGTATTGTGGGTTCGAGTCTCGTACCGGCAGGGATTGTAGGGGGGGGGAGTGAATGTACAGCGCTCTCTCCCACCTTCAATACCACGACTGAGGTGCCCTTGAGCAAGGCACCGAACCCCCAACTGCTCCCCGGGCGCCGCAGCATAAATGGCTGCCCACTGCTCCGGGTGTGTGTTCACTGCTGTGTGTGTGTACACTTTGGATGGGTTAAATACAGAGCACTAATTCTGAGTATGGGTCACCATACTTGGCCACATGTCACGTCACTTCACTTCACTTAATAGGAGGAAAAATCACATAACCGTTTTAGCACATCTTGATTCACAAACCACCTACAGTCCAACTTGCACTGCATAACATGAGGCTGTGAGTATTTGAAGAAGATTAGAGACAAAAAAGCAGTTGGAATGATTGTTGAAGTGTGTAAGGCAACTTCAGTGATGCTCTGACGTTCTTCCTTGTGCTGTTACGTCTCTCTAGAGCAGTGGTTCTCAATTGCAGTCCTACATTTTGTATGTCCCTCTGATCACTTCAGATGTTAGCTCTATTCGACCGTAAGTGCCCTGTGAAGTGGACTTCACAGGATATTCCATCATGATTCCATTTCGAAGGGAGCGTATATATTCCATTCAAAGGGCATTATTTATTTACAGAGGTATATTATGTCACACATCTCTAGCAAGTTTTGTCCGTGTGTGAAGACGCTGCAGGCCGTGGCATAGCGCAAATTCTGAGGTGAAGTATACTTCAACAGAGTTCCAGTGCTCAGGGAGTAGAGAGCAATGAATACTGTGCAGGGACCCTGTCAATCAGAACACAGTTCATGCACGTTGCTCACTTCTAACGAGCTGGTGATCTGAATCAGGTGTGTTAAATAAAAGAGGCATGCAAAATATGCAGAGCGGTGGGTCACCAGAACTGGAATTGAAAGCCACTGCTCGACACTGTAAAAAATTATTGTGATTTTAAGGTTAAAAGACTGTAAAAATGCTACAGTAAAAACCTATTAATTGGTTAATGGTAAGTTCCCTTAGTCTATGGTGAAAAACTGTATTTGACATTTCATGTAATTTTACGGTTAAATACAATTTTCGGAAGTGAAAAAGAACTTGTAATTTACAGTGAAAAAACGTAAATTCACATTCCCAGAATTCCCTGTGTTACATTTCACATTTGATGTTTTTTTTTGTTGAAATAACTAGCCTATGTTTCCTCTTAGTTTTTTCTCGCCAGTTATGTTCATTAGGGTTGTATGTTTCATCTAATGTTGTTAAATTAATGTTGATTGCATTATTTCAGTATCATGTGTGTTACCATGATGGTGTTTAGTGTTTGTGTGAATGACATTGTGCACCTTTTCTATATTTATTAGTAGGGATGCACCGATACCGGTATCGGGCCCGATACTGGTCTCCTGTACTCGTACTCGTACTCGTACTCGTTAAAATGCCCCGATACCAAACGCCGATACCACACAGCATGTGTTAAGCACCATATTCAATCAAAGAAACACCGACAACAGAACAACAGAGAGCAGAAAGGAGTTAAGGATGTCTACTACAAAGTATATGTATGCAATGAATATAATGTTAAACATTCAGTATTAACGCCTGTATAGCTGATGTGTGCGATCTGATAAACAAAGCGTGCTGAGTGGATTGAGCACGCGGCGGCGCAGATGCGCAAGCTTGTCGATTTATCTTTCTCACAGACATCACTGGAAAGTTTGTAGTTCGGTCGGATACGTCAAAAACAAGTAAGTAAAACAATGCACAAGTTACTTAACGGTAGGGAGAGAGAGAGAGAGAGAGAGAGAGCGCGCACTTCTGTTGTGTGATCTTTGATGTTCACTCACTTCTGCACACGCATCATTTGTATTAAAACGAAATCGTAAAAATAAAACTATTCATAGGGGCATTCACTATAAACATCCTTAGTTTCTCGTAATACACTATACTATACTTCTATACACTATAGTTCATTTATGTAACTGAGGATAGCAAAATAAAGTAAACTGTGACAAATCATACCTCACATTTCTTCATACAGTGGATTACCAGTAAAATTTATTTCAAATTTGGGACCAAAAATTATTCAGACCGAGTCTGGGAAAAAAAAAACATTTATTTCAGGTTTGCATGAACCTGGTTGACAGCATACCCAGGAGACTATATGCTGTCATTAAGTATTTTCTTTCTCAGCTTGTGGAAGAGCTGTGTTTGTTTGTGATGGGCTTTGGTTCATCGTGTGACTTTCTCATCACCACCTGATTTTGGTGGTAATCAGTGTATTACAAAAGTACTAAACAGATTTCAGAACTTCAATAGGCTGGTATATTAACATTATATCAGTTAATGAAATACAGTACTTATATGTCAATTTAAGTTAAATCTGTAAAACCTAAAATGTTGCTACCTACTTTTTACTTACAATTCTGGAAACCACAGCTGACAGTTTTGTCAATTTTACAGACTTTTTTTTTTTTATTTACAGTCCAGACAGTTCATGCTGTAAAATAAATCACTGCACAATACTTGCAGATTGTTGGAAAGTACTCAGATTAGAACTATACTATAACTGTACTATCTATCTAGCTCTAACTTATCTGTCTATATATATTTATATCTATCTTTTAGTCATTAGCCTACAACTAAACCTCAAATATAAAATATAGCTAAATATATATACAGAGAATAAAAAAGGGAGAAAGTGAGAGTGGATACAAGAGAGCGGCAAAGTGATTGGATGTTAAGAGAGAGAGAGAGAGAGAGAGAGAGCGTGTGTGTGTGTGTGTGTGTGTGTGTGTGTGTGTGTGTGTGTGTGTGTGGTGTGTGTGTGTGTGTGTGTGTAAAGCGTCTCACATTCAGACGTCCGCGCATCTTTGGCAGTCGTCACATCACTGTTACACTGACTGGAGTAACGCACAGCCGGCTAATGAAACTCCGGAGAATGTAATAAGGGTTTTCAGGCTTCAACAGGTGGCGGGCTGAGGGTTCGAGTCACGGGCAGCATGAGCGCGGATTGTGCGGGATATTACAACGCGGAGAACGTGTTTGTCAGCGGCTTCACGTGCCCCAAACCCGACAGCGACGCGCGCGCGATCTTCTGCTGCGGGTTCAATGACGTCAAATACTGCTGCGACGATCCCAACAGCTTTTTCCCTTATGAGTATGGATATATGTGGTGGCTCAGGTAAGACACCGAGATTTTGTGCATTTTGTCATGGATCCCTAATTTAAAATAATTAGTCTACTGTATATGACATATAGTTTCTACATGCTATTTGCTACACTTTTAACTTTATAGTCAACGTTATAAAAACATAATAAGACAAAGTTTTTTTTTTTTAAGAATAATTTATATTTTGTGAAACTGGTCATTTTTATAAGAATAAGAAAAATAAAAAAAACTTGTATCTAACCAAGCAACTAAAGAAACTAAAACTCAAAATGTGCTCATTTTCAATCTCCAAAATAGAAATATGCTCATAATGCATTAAATATTATTTTCTTGAACACATTGGAAGATAAACATCTTCCATTCAGCAAAACATGGTGGTGATTTGATGTCAAGCTCAGAAAAAGACAAATGAAAATACATTTAAAAAAACTCATGCTCTATTTTTCAACTCTTTCAAGGCCATGTGATAGTTACACTAACTTGTAAATCTCATTCATACATGTCTTCATCATCCACTGCATGATTTTCAGAGAAAAATTACAGTCTTGTTTTGTCAAGTCTTTGTCTTGATTTCTTGACAGTATGAATTCACATGTGTTATACGGATAATACATTTTCTGCAAAATAGTTTTAGAGAAAAAGAATGCAGTGTTTCCGCTATGATGCAAAACAAAACAGATCTTCACAAGACAAACATTGTATATATGTTCACAAATGAACACACAAATTGTAGTGCAAAAGGGAGTTTAGAAAAAGCAGTAAAACAGATAAAAGTTTGCCCGAGAAGCTGAGAAACTGACACTGTAATTTGCTTCTCAGGTAAATTAATCTTGTTTTTAAGCATGTTTAGATTTTTTTAAGAACAGGATTTTCAGACAGTATGTGCTCTAACCTTAAAACATAACTGAAATTGGACGTTAACTCTTTGTCAGGGAGTCATGTTTAATGGGTCTAACGATTGATTAGATGGAGGGTCACAAGGCATTGTTGAATAAATGAAATATAATCTTTCCAGTACAATGCAAAACACAACAGCACAGCAAAAATATGTTGGGAGATTTGTCACCATGGGTGACTTTTTGGGTGAACATACAGGTCCATCTTTGCTAGTGTTAAAACAACACTGACAACAGTGTTTATTATACAAACACTGTGCTAGTGTTTCATTTTAATCACTCAAGGTGTTGAGAAATTATTACTTGCAACAAGTATACACATTTAACACTTTATGGTGATTAATCCCACACACCCAGTGTATTTATTTAATGTTGATTTCATGTGAATTTTGTCAATATTGTTTTAAAATGGCAATGCAGATTCAGTTTAAAGCATAAACCTATAAATATTTTTCAGAAACCAAGATCTTCACATGACAACCTCTTTAAAAATGTTTTAAATGTAGACATGTACACAAAAGAAAAAAAAAAAACAGCAAAGTGGAATAAAATATACCCGAGATGCTGAGAAATTGTATAATAAGACTTGTTCATTAAGCCAGGGAATGGGTTTAATTGTTGATTGATCACAGAAAGTGTTACAGGGTAGAACACGAGTTCTTCATCAAGGTTCATCAGTGATTATGTGATGCAGCATTAATCTCGGCAAAAAGCTTCAGTTAAGTGGTACGATCACACTCCAACCCTTTTTTACACAGTAAATTAATAATGATCTCACACGACTTGAAGAAATGCTGTCATGGAACATGCATCAATTTTATGGTATTAAAGGGATAGTTCATCCAAAAATGAAAATGTGATGTTTATCTGCTTACCCCCAGGGCATCCAAGATGTAGGTGACTTTGTTTCTTCAGTAGAACACATTTGATGATTTTTAACTTTAACCGTTGCAGTCTATCAGTCGTATAATGCATGGCAATGGTAACAAACAAAAAACGATCGGTTTGTGCCAGAAACCGAACAGTATTTATATAATATTTTACCTCTAATACACCACTATGTCCAACTGTCTTTGGGCGCGCGCACGGCATCCGGTGTGTGAGGTGTGTACGCGCTCTGGCGTAGTTTACGTTAATAGGTGTGTTGATATCAAGCCGAAGAGCAATCAACCATAACTTCAGGCGAGCAGGCTCAGAAGTTGGGAATACGTGGAAAGTCACCACTCCCAAATGAGTTCGCGCGAGATAACGTAATCTTTTAGTTTTAAGTCGGTTTGAACAATCCGGATAAGCGCAAGTAAGTACCATTTTGATTAGCCGTCGTACCTACAATGACTGTGCACTGTCTAAACAATGAGTGACATATACGTGTGAGAGATCACTTCCGGCGCTTGCGTAAACTACCACAGAGAGCGTACACACCCACGCAAGGAAGATAATTCCGCAAATAGCTGCAATTGTAGGTTTTCAAACAGAGATGGTGACAAAGAGGCAAAACTTACGGACTGCAGCTTTAAGTTGTCTAAATGACCCACTGCGGCTTTTTAATTGCAGTTTCTCTGCAGGTGATGCTCCGCTGCTATGCAAACTTTTACGTTCCAAATAATGTGAAATAGGGGCAGTTCTAGACCCTTTTTTAAATGGACTTCAGCCCCCCCCATCTGTCATCTCAGCCCCCTGAAACTATAATCAGCTATCTGAATGACTGGGCCAGTCCTGCTTCCTCAAGAAAGTTTACCATTCTCACGTGTTTTAAGTCTGGTCAATTTAAACGTTAAAGTGCTTTTAAGCCATTCAAGCACAAGACAGCGTGAAAGAGATCTCAATGCGGTGCACGCTAGGATGGATCGTTTCTGCGTTCGCGCACACGTGAAACAGGCACACAAAAAACAGCACGCAAGTAACGAGTTTTATTTTGCGTCTTCTTGAGCAAATATACACAAAATTATGTCAGAATGGTAAACACAGTCCAAGTAAACATAAACTGTTAAGAAAATATCGGATGTATGTCAGTATAACGGATCCGGGCATTTCTTATGTTAATAATGTTAATTAAACAACAAAAGAAAAATAGAGAATCTAAGTAACGTTAACTTCTGTAGCTTTATTAGAAATTTGTGCACAAGCACTGTTAAGTTTATTTAGGTAATTTGTATCTTTGTATCTAATGGTCTCTCTAGGACGAAATACTAGAACCGCCCCTGATGTGAACCATCCATTAACATGTATTAATTTATGTAAGAACTCATTTGCTGTTTTCAAAGCTCCAATTAATTTGCTCTCAGGCATGCAGAAGTGTTGCAAAAGTTGTTTGCGTTTTCAACCCCTGATCTTGTGGGGGAGGAGAAGAATGTTTGAAGGGAATTGTTTTAAAGTGGAAAAACATCTAACCAAATAATTGAAAGTGATAGTCTTTTATTCTTATCACATTTTGAAGTCAGAAATATGCAAATGTATTTTGTGTATGTGTGTGTGTGATTTTACTAGATATCTTTCTGTTCAGCGTTAGTGGCCAACATCATTACTAAAACATACTTGTCTGACTAATAATATTTTATAATAATACTAATTATATATATATATACTGTATATATATTTATATAAAATATTTTTATAAATATGTTTGATATATATACTGTATATATATATTAAACACCATTTTGAAATCTAAATGCAAAATTATAATTTACTTCTTGTTTTAAGCATAAATAATACCTAAAAAACATTTTGCCAGCAGGGTGTTTAAAGAAAAACAGATTGAACAGGAAAAAGAAAACGCTCTTGTCAAATCATTTAATTGGGCATTTGATATCAACATGATCCACTGTTTAATCTGTCTCTTTTTTCTATCTCTGTTCTTCAGTTTGGGAGCTCTGGTTGGTTTATCTATAGCTGCTGTGGTGCTGTTAGCATTCATCATCACTATTTGTGTGCTTTGCTACCTGTTCATCGCCACTAAACCTCGAGGGCTGGACAACGGGCTGCCTTTACGAGCACCAGGTATGAAAACAGCTTTAACAAAAGATCAATTTCTACATATGAACACATCTTCAGAGGAAAGTCCTTGAGATCCAGGAGAGGAGCTCAGGACTTAGTACATTTTTACAGCCTTTGATGTGAGCCTGTTTGATGAGAGTTTGCTTTATTTGGCAAATTACATTTACATTTAGTCTTTTAGTAGCAGTATTAATCTCAATGAAATTACTGACAGTGTTTGTTCTTGACAGGTGTTTTGCTTTTCGATAAAGAATGCACTGTATCAATAATTACATTTTTTTTTTAATTAAAACACAAAATTATTTTGTGCACATTATCATCAACTTAATTTTTACATTCGCTAAAATTGATATTCCATTTACTCAAAGTAATTTGTACTAAAGTTAATTAATATGCCAAAATACTGACACAAGTTTACGGATACGTTTGCCAAAAACTGTGAATAAAGCAGAAAAACTGCATAAATTCACACTTTTTTGCAAATTGGTATCCAAAGCAACCTACAAATAAAGGAAATCCACCTGCTGTACACACATATATACAGTATCTCACAGAAGTGAGTACACCCCTCACATTTTTGTAAATATTTTATTATATCTTTTCATGTGACAACACTGAAGAAATGACACTTTGCTGCAATGTAAAGTAGTGAGTGTACAGCTTGTATAACAGTGTAAACTTGCTGTCCCCTCAATATAACTCAACACACAGCCATTAATGTCTAAACCGCTGGCCACAAAAGTGAGTACACCCCTAAGTGAAAATGTCCAAATTGGGCCCAATTAGCCATTTTCTCTCCCCGGTGTCATGTGACTCATTAGTGTTACAAGGTTTCAGGTGTGAATGGGGAGCAGGTGTGTTAAATTTGGTGTTATCACTCTCACGCTCTCATACTGGTCACTGGAAGTTCAACATGGCACCTCATGGCAAAGAACTCTCTGAGGATCTGAAAAAAAAGAATTGTTGCTCTACATAAAGATGGTGTAGGCTATAAGAAGATTGCCAAGACCCTGAAACTGAGCTGCAGCACAGTGGACAGTTCATTGAGGGAACCATGAATGCCAACATGTACTGTGACATACTGAAACAGAGCATGATCCCCTCCCTTCGGAGACTGGGCTGCAGGGCAGTATTCCAACATGATAATGACCCCAAACACACCTCCAAGATGACCACTGCCTTGCTAAAGAAGCTGAGGGTAAAGGTGATGGATTGGCCGAGCATGGGCATCCTCAAACGGAAGGTGGAGGAGCGCAAGGTCTCTAACATCCACCAGCTCCGTGATGTCGTCATGGAGGAGTGGAAGAGGACTCCAGTGGCAACCTGTGAACTCCATGCCCAAGAGGGTTAAGGCAGTGCTGGAAAATAATGGTGGGCGCACAAAATATTGACACTTTGGGCCCAATTTGGACATTTTCACTTAGGGGTGTACTCACTTTTGTGGCCAGCAATTTAGACATTAATGGCTGTGTGTTGAGTTATTTTGAGGGGACAGCAAATTTACACTGTTATACAAGCTGTACACTCACTACTTTACATTGTAGCAAAGTGTCATTTCTTCAGTGTTGTCACATGAAAAGATGTGAGGGGTGTACTCACTTCTGTGAGATACTGTCCCTGCATTCACATGCAAACAAATTATTCTGTTAAGTTATCCTGTTTCCTTTATGCATTAACTGCTTCTTCTTATTACCTTAGATTAGTTCTATCAGACTACTTATGGTTTGTTTAGGGAAGAAACCACCAAATGATTGTGAATGAATCCATTATATTCAGGTGCCTAAATGAGAAAAATACAGCCAGACACATTAAGCTGACTGTTACATTTAATAAATGTAAATAAAGTGAGTAAATGGGTGAGTATGTATAGGACAATGTGTATTATCTTGATTTTTGTGCATCTACTCTGCAAATAAATAAATAGACATAAAAAAAATGAGAAATTATTTTATGTCATAATGCAAAACGATTTTCCCCAAAATGCCACGACTGACCAATCAGAATCAGCTATACTAGAGATTTCAGTTGTTAGCATCTATGAAAACTCATTTTAGCCAGTAGATTTAGCTTTCACCCCTGACAGTTCTCTGAACTACTGTACATTTGCATCATCAGTGTTAGTACCACCCTGAGTGCTAGCAGTAGCTAGGTAACAACTCAAGAAAAAAAGATGATGAACTTACATTCTTCTGTCTTGGATACATTGCAAGAGTAATCGAGTTTGTTGAACACAGATTCTACAGAGATTGTGATGATTGTGCATCAAATTATTTGCCAGCAATAGTGGTTCATTTATGCAAAATTCTTTTCATTCATAGCTTTATCACAGAGATCACATTTTCAAACCACATTTTCTGTGGGTCTTAAAAGGTCTTAATTTGCCCTTCCACAAATTCAGGCCTTAAAAAGTCTTAAATCTGAGCTGAAAGTCTTAAATTCATAAAGTAGTCATGGCATTAAATGTTGCATAAACGGGGGACAAATAATATTGTCCTCTTTCTTTTTGTCTTGTTTTCCAATTCAAATAACTAAACATCTTTAAATCAAGATACATTTACTTGAGATGTAAAATTAAGATAAAAAGTCTTGTTTTCTGAGAAACTAAACTAAATTAAGTGAGCTTATGCTTGAAACAACAACAAAACTCTGTCAATGGGGTAAAGAAAACTTATTTCACTTTGAATTAAGCAAATATTTGTTCTTGTTAAATCAAAATTCACTTCATTTTAATTAAATTTCTCAGAAAAAAATGTTTTCTAGTCTATCTTGCTTTAAGAAACTTTAGACATTTTCCCTGGAAAATGTGACAAAAACACAGAGGAAGGACAACAGTATGATCAGAACAGAAGTTACAGTAAAAGTTATTTCTAAAAAAGTAATAAAGATGGAAAATTTTTTTGCAATAAGACACTTAGTGTCTTGAACACCCAAATTATTTGGCATTGTGTGGGATGAAAGTACAATATAAACTAGACAAAAACGATTAACCAAAACATTGCTAATGAAATATTTTTGTGATTATGGAAGTTTGGCTAATGTCCATGATTTATATACTTTCTCTTTTTAATTTTTATTTATTTACTTACTTGTGTACATACTTACTTTTTCCAATAGCATGTACTGATGCTATACTTGTCCAGGTTATATTTCACCCCAAAATCTGATGAAAAAATGTATCATATTTTGCATACAAATTATTAGTTGTTGTTATTTTGTTTTATTTATTTATTTATTTATTTTTTGTATTGTGACATTTATATTCATGACTATTAACTCCCATGTTGTGTTCCGGTCATTTTGACCTGGAGACTCTTTCTCACACAAGGTATCAATGAGGCCCAAAATCAGTCATTTCCAAAATAAAATACAAAATCTGTGCTAACTGAAAAGAAAACAAGTTGATAAAAAGATTGATTTATTAACACATCCCTTCACACTGGTGTATTTCCCTCAGCATTTATACAGGCTCAGATAACCCCACTACATAAGAAACCCACTTAACCCAGCACTTTTAGAGAACTACAGAATTATATACAGTGGGGCAAAAAAGTATTTAGTCAGCCACCAATTGTGCAAGTTCTCCCACTTAAAAAGATGAGAGAGGCCTGTAATTTTCATCATAGGTATACCTCAACTATGAGAGACAAAATGAGAAAAAAAAATCCAGAAAATCACATTGTAGGATTTTTAAAGAATTAATTGGTAAAGTCCTCGGTAAAATAAGTATTTGGTCCATTCATTGCAAAAACACTTGAACCACCAGATCCTTCTTTCAACCCTATTGGCAAAGGGCATTTTAGGAACACTCCAGTGGTTTGAGTCTTACCTCTCAGATAGGTCCTTCATGGCATCTTTGAGAGGTGAGGTGTCCAAGTCACAACATGTAACTACTGGGGTGCCTCAGGGCTCAGTTCTTGGACCACTTCTCTTCTCTGTCCACATGGCATCACTAGGTTCTGTCATTCAGAAACATGGCTTTTCCCATCACTGCTATGCTGATGACACTCAACTCTACCTCTCTATCCATCCTGATGGTCCGACGATAGCTGCTTGCACCTCAGCATGTATAACATACATTTCTTGCTGGATGAAGGACCATCACCTTCAACTCAACATTGCCAAGACAGAACTGCTTGTGGTTTCAGCAAACCCATCACTTCATCACAGTTTCACCATCCAGCTAGGCGCATCAACTATAACTCCTTCAAAGACAGCCAGGAACTTTGGAGTAGTGATTTATGATCAGCTAAATTTCACAGACCACATTGCTAAAACTGCCCGGTCCTGCAGATTTGTTTTATACAACAGTAGGAAGATCAGGCCCTTTCTATCGGAACATGCTACACACAACTCCTTGTTCAAGCTTTTCTTCTGTCCAGGCTGGACTATTGCAGTGCTTCCTTGGCAGGCCTTCCAGCCAGTTCTATCAAACCTCTACAACTAATCCAGAATGCGGCTGCAAGATTAGTCTTTAACAAGCCGAAAAGAGCACGTTATACCTCTGTTCATCAATTTGTGCTGGCTACCAATAACTGCTTGCATAAAATTCAAGGCATTGATGTTTGCCTAAAAATCAACCACTGGCTCTGCACCCCATTACCTAAATTTACTACTTCAGAATGATGTGCCCTCCAGAAGCTAGCATTCTGCAAGTGAACGGTGCATTATAGTGCCATCCCAAAGAGGCATAACATTACTTTCAGGAACTTTTACTTTATCTGTTCCCTCATGGTGGAATGACCTGCCAACTCAATTTGAGCAGCTGAGTCCTTATCCATCTTAAATAAATGGCTAAAAACACTTATCTTACATCTACACTTGACCCTCTAACACTAGCGTTCTCTATTCTTTTTCTATCTACTTGTTTTCTTTTTATTAATTATAAAGAATGACCCTCTAACACAAGCGTTCTCTATACTTTTTATTTATTAAAAAAGTGACCCTCTAACACTAGCGTTCTCTATTTCTTTTCTGTTCTAAATGTTATATTTTTATTTATAATT